CTCAGAGTTATAGACACGAATTTTTATGATTACTATTACCATTGTCTTACGGGTTAGACAAATATTCAACCTTTTTTTTTTAGTTCAGGGTGCAATTATAGAATAACTAAAACTCTGGTACGTACTTTAAATTTTAATAAGGAAAAAATTGTCATGAAATTTAAAAATATGAAATTTTTGTTTAGTGTTGCCAAATATTACAGGAACAATTTTCATTTAGAGGGATTCATTTAAATGTATTTTTTAGGGAGGCCTATAATGACTGATTCAAATCCCTTGAGGAAAGCTAAATAGAAAGAATTATCCCATCTTCTTAAAGATTAAGGTCTTATCCAGTTTAAAATATCAAATGACAAGGAATTAAGATTGGCGTCTCTTTTTTTTTTTTTAATAAAGATTTTTAAATATAAAAATAATTCATTACTATTCTGCTAACTTAGGGTGCACCTGACTAACTTTTTAGGGTACATTCGTGCACCGAGATGCACTGGTTATGAAATGCTGATCTAAAGTATCGGTTACAGCCAATCGTTTTCTCTTATCGATGTTTAAAAAAAAGGACTTGAAGCAAATAAACATTTGGATCATGTTTTGTGAACCTCTCCTTAGTTCTTTCTCTAAAGATCCTGTTTGTATAAAACTGATTTCGTTAAGGAAATTTCTTCATAAGACTTAATGCCTTAAATAGGTAAGACCCTTTTCTCAGTTCCGTGTTTAAAAATGGCTTTAACCGAGAAAAAAAACCCCAAAACTTGGAGATCTCAAAGAAAACTATCCTTCATCGGATCGCATAGATTAGCGCTACAGAATCTCAAAGAACTTTACCAAATAACAGAACTCATTTGAAGACTTCCAACACGTCTTAGGTTTGGATGAGCCCGAGCCAGTAAACACCAAGACGAAATAAATGTAGTGTAAACCGAAAGTGTTTGCTGTGGAGGGCTCTTAATTGGACCCTCATCACAATATGTAGAGCGGGATAGATGCGATAGGAAACAATATACTACAGAAGAACTCAAAATTGATCACTGCATTTAAGTATTGCGTAAATATTTAAGTTTACCTTTTAAAGATTCAACGATAATTCTTCTGCCGCCACGTAATGTAAACACCAAGACGAAATAAATATAGTGTAGACAGAAAGTGTTTGCTTATAAATTGAAACATTACAACCCGAAGATGAAAATATGAAATTATCGAAAGTACTCGGCTGAGGCTCATCAATTCCATCTGACAACAACTCAAATATAAGGATCGTGTTAGTCAAGGAACTGACAGTAATTTAATGTCTCATTGACTCTTGTTAGCGAAGTGATTTCTCCATTAATCACATTAACATTGCTAATTAATTCTTTGTGATTGGAAATCAGCCCGTTATATTCACTTACATGCAAATACCCTTGGGGAAAGTACAAATTCACCTTTTATTCACCAGTTATCCACTGATTAGTAGGATATGTATTAATAAATCCTTATTATCTCCCAAATATTCATACAATCTCAAATATTTTTTTGTCTTTAAATAACCTGCAAAACGTGAGATAATCCGTAAAAAATAAATCAATCAATCAACGAACCGCCAAACAACTCATGCATTTCTTCTTTATGATATATATATATATATATATATATATATATATATATATATATAAAAAAAAGCTTAAACACTAATATTCCATGGTTGATAATTTATTCCATTGGAATCGTAAATTCAAAAAGAATTCATCATTTTACAAATTCTGAAAATTGATTTGTATTTACGATTCCAATGGAATAAATCATGACCATGGAATATTAGTGTTTAAGCCTTTTATTATATCCTTACTCTGTCCTGGACATTGAGTTCTACCTGGATTCTATCCTCTTGGAATAATTTTTTTATACAAATATATATGTATGTGTATAAATATACACATACATTAGCGGATCCGCTTAGGTGAAACCTGGGTAGGTTTGTCTGGCTCACTAGATCTATCTATCTATCTATCTATCTATCTATCTATCTATCTATCTCTCTCTCTCTCTCTCTCTCTCTCTCTCTCTCTCTCTATATATATATATATATATATATATATATATATATATATATATATACAAATTAATTGATTTAAAATATGGTTTTTCCGGTACACAGTTTATATTTTAAATCAATTAATGTATAATATTAATGCTCTGTAAATTTACATTGAGCACTATTTTGTAAAAATAAAAATATCTATAAGAACACCGGATTATATATCTTACTGTTCTTTCTTTTTATCTATCTATCTATCTATCTATCTATCTATCTATATATATATATATATATATATATATATACTAGCTTATCGGACTGTGGAGGGCTCTTAATTGAGCCTTCATCACAATAGGTAGGATGGAATAGATGAAATAGTCATCAATAAACTACAGAAGAACTTAAAATTGATCTCTGCATTTAAGTATTGTGTAAATATTTAAGTTTACCTTTTAAAGGTTCATCGATAATTCTTCTGCCGTCACTTAATGTAAAGACAATTTGATGTACATAGGTCCTTACTTTCCGTACAAACAATTATTTTTATTTCATCGGTGACCTTCGCTGGATTTCGCAATTAATTTCGATTAATCTCAAATTTATTTCCAAGTTATAAAAAATTCGTCATCGCACAGAAATCTTCGTCGCAAAAAACCACTGAAAACAATCGCATTAATGAAAACTTGGGAATTCAAAATGATTCTTTTGTGCGAATTATTACAGGCGATGGCGTAAACTCCTCCTTCAGCTTTTAGCTTATTTTTTTGTTTAGTATTGACTAAGTCTTTTATTGTTTTTGATCTAGTAGCAATAAATTTTATGTTGTTAATGAAAGAAAATTAATGCTGTGTGTGTCGGAAGGGGTATCATTGCATTATACATTTGGAGTTCTTAAAAAGGAATGAGAAACTAAATGCACACTTTTACATCCGGTAGCTGCAACGTGTCCCTAAAAGTTTTGTCGCATAGGAAAATACGGTCCTCGTTCTTGGCAACGCAAGATTAAGAGAAGAAATTTAGAAATCGGTTGGTCTGTCCTTTCCAACCACATATTCATCTTACCTTGCACCAACAGATTATTATCTTTTTTATTAATCGTAATAAAACATTTTGGTCGGGAAAGGTTTCTACTAAGTAAACCAGATCCAAGTAATTGTCAAAAACTTTTTCACATTAAAATTTACAGAATTTTACTCAGAAGGTATGGAAGAGCTCCGAGAAGCGACAAAAAGTCATTGCAAATAATGAATATATATATATATATATATATAATAGATAGGAAAAGACAAAATCTATAAGGCATTTTTAAAAGAAAAAGCTAAAAAAACCCCAAAAAACAAACGGTCTACACTAAAATTAACCACAAATGAAATGTGTCGTTCATTTTAGTGTGGACCGTTTTTTGAATTTATCTAGGTCACACTCCACATTTCACCTCAAGGTTCTAGATTCCTTGTATATCAGATCCCATGAGCTTTCCCTTTGTAAACATAGGGAATGCTTACTGGGTCTGAATATTATTGGATTCTAGCTTCTTGAAATTGATTTTTTTCTCTACCATCCCATGCCATTCGTTAATTTAAATTAATTTACACGCTTTTTAAATTGTCTATTCACTTCTGTAAACTTGATAATTCCTGGGACGAAACCGGTTGTTTTTTTTTTTTTAGTTTTTTCTTTTAAAAATGCCTTATAAATGTCTTTTCCTATCTATCCTTAAATTCTGTGCCACAAAAAACTTATTTGAATATATATATATATTATAAATTAACTGATTTATAATATGTTTTTTTCGCTACACAATAATAACCATGATTCAAAAACTGAAGCTAAAATCTTCAAATTTACTTATATATTTAAATTAAATGCATTAGTTCCGTTTCATCTTCAAGCGAATATTGGAATAACTTATTTTTAAATTTATTTATGCCCTGTAAGTTTACATTGATCAATGTTTTGTAAAAATAAAAATAAAAAATATCAATAAGAACACCGGATTATATATCTTACTGTTCTTTATATATATTTATATATATATATATATATATATATATATATATATATATATATATATATATATATATGATCGAATACGATGTAATTGGAATTTATGTTTTGATGACTAAATTTGCTAAAAGATATGAAAATCTTTTATGACTCAAACTAATATATTGCGAATCATTTTAATTCTAACCTTTCTTGACATCCATCATACAGCAGGATTTATTAAACAAATAGTTCATGGCTTGAATATTGTTGCCACATATGGTCCGGTGCTCCTGATGTGTATTTAGAGATTCTTGTTAAAATTATAAAAAAGAATCAGCAATATTATTGGCCCTGACCCGGCATCTCGGCTTCAGTCACTTTCTCACTGTCGTAATATAGCTACCCTGTGCCTTTTCTGTGAATACTTTCATGGCAATTGTTCAGATGAACTCTTCGCTATGGTACCTAGCCTTTATGAATTTAAGCTCGGTACGAAATTGGCGGCAAGGTTTCATCAATTCACTGTTGAAATGGCGAGATGTAACCGTAAGTTCCATGCTAATAGTTTCTTTTCTCGCACTTCTCGCTTGGGGAAACTCTCTTCATATTTTCCAACCAAATTCGATCTTCAAAAATTTCAATGCAATGTCAATCGTTATCTACTGTATTCTGGATTCCTCTTCTTTTGTTGTTCTCTCTCTTGAACAATATTTCCTTTTTCTCATATTCTTTCACATTCAGTAACTCCTTGTTGGCTTTTATTGGCTTTATTGCCTTACATGCGGTGATATAATTAAAAAAAGAAATAAAAAAGAAGTTTAATTATTTATAATATATATATATATATATATATATATATATATATTAATCCCCCCCTTTCCTTAATTTTGAATAAACGGTACTCCCCAACAATCTTGTTTTTTTTTTTTTCACGTGGTTATGTTTTTTTTTGTTTATTGACTATATATTCCGTTCTTTCTTGACCTTGTTAGCTGGC